GGTGTATAAAAGGCGGCATTTGTCGCMGTATTTCGGTTTTAGCTTATCGTAGTAAAACTCATACATGAGCAACTTTGATAGGTCTAACACTGTGTGTGAAGCTATCCATCTAACGAGTAAGATGTCTACTTAGTAAATGATTGTTATTGTTTGTGTTCTTTTGTGGCTATGAAGTCCGATTCTAGAAAAACATCGTCTTTGACAGGTAGCACATACGAACTCTGTAGCKGTTGGTTCAACTGTTGGAGAAGTTTGTTGCCTTGATTTTCTTTGTGACCAAAGTCTTTCTCTGTGCTCTTTTCTTCGTTGTTCACTTTGCTTCGCTCCTGCGTAAATAGCATGTCTCCAGCCAAGTCTGTTGCCAGCCTGCTCCTCCCAATCATCTGTGTTGATAGCACATTGTTTGAGATTGTGCTTCAAATTGTCTTTGAAGCGTTTCAGTTGACCACCTTGGTTTCGCTTTCCATTGGTCAGCTCACCGTATAGAATTTTCTTGGGGAGTCTGGATACGGCATACGCACAACGTGCCCAGCCCATCTAAGTTGGTTCTTGATAATGATGGTCTCAATGCTGGAGATATTGGCCTCTTCTAACACACTATTGTTGGTACGTCTGTCCTGCCATTTGATGTTCAATATACGGCGAAGGCATCGCTGATGATATTTCTCCAAGTTTTTGAGGTGGCGACTGTAGGTGGTCCAAGCCTCTTAGCCATAAAGCAGGRTTGGTAGAATCATGGCTTTGTAGACCTTGATCTTTGTGTTGATATTGAGGTCTTTGTTATCAAATACTCGAGTTCTCAGGCGCCCAAATGCACCACTAGCTGAACTAAGACGAACTTGAATTTCTGCATCCAGATCASCCTTACTTGACAAGCAACTGCCAAGATATGTGAAATTATCAACAGTGTTGAGGTACTGCCCACCAACTGTAATCTGTGGTTGTTGTCGTCCGTGTATGCTAACAGGTGATGGCTGAAATAGAACCTTTGTCTTTTGAGCATTGAGTTTGAGGCCCAGCGCACTATAGGCGTGGCTGAATGCATTCATTGCTGTCTGAAGATCTTCCTCTGTGTGAGTTGCTATGGCATTATCATCAGCATATTGGAGCTCGAGTATTGTCATGTGTGTAGTCAACGTTCTAGCCTTCAAACGTCGGAGGTTGAAGAGCTTACCATCCATCCGGTATTGCATATCGATGCCTCGTGGGAGCTTCTCCATCACCAAGTGTA